TCTACCTATGGACAGTGAGAAGATGATGGATACCAGCCCTGCATTACCTCAGGCAAGAACAGGAACTACCCTGCCATTCTTAGGGAAGCCAGACACCCGAGGATAAGTCACGCTGCAGACCTCCACAACACCAATCCTGCTAACCACAAGATGGCTGCTGTGCCGCATCAACTGATGGTCAACTCTGCTTGCCAGAACTGCCTTCCGGAGACTGTATTCCATGGAGACTCACCTACAGTTGCGGAACTGCACGAGACCCACACTTGATCCAACCTTGAATGGAATCTATTTTCCCTATTGTTAAAAACTTTGGACTCGTGACCCCTCTCCCTCTACTCGCAGGTATCGCATTTTCAATGACCCCTCTGGAGGATAGCTGTCTATAGCAGAGATAGAGTAATTGGGAGAGGGGGAAAGGGCTGAGGGTCAAACATAGGATAAAAAACATATTTATATGTATGAAAGTAGAAATGGAACAGTATTGGTGACGACATGCTTGATTAAGACACTATGTAGTTTATCCTAGATGGGCAACTACACTTGGTGTGTTGTGATGATACTCAGGGAATGAGTGTTAGGCAATATAATTTAATATAAAAAAATAATAATAAGCAGGAGGGAAAAAAATGCACATTTGATGACTGAAGAGAGTTGTATGGACACAACTGGGGTCTACTTTATAATATGTTCATTCTACTCCCTGGGGTTTATGCCTAGGATCAGATTTGGATACATGTGTAAGGATATGTCAGCTGTGCTAGCTAGTGGATATACTTAGACTAATTGAGTTCATTGGTAGAACAATTGAATGGGGGGGGGCGGAAGCCATTGAGGGCAATCATGAATGTCAGGGACAATGGAGGAGGAAGATGGGACATGGCAGAGGGTGGGGATGGGGAACCTAGGATGGCAAAACAAAAGGCAAGGTATGCAGGACACAAAAATTGGGAAATCATTTGCTGAGAACATATATGTTGATGTGCTTGATTGAGCCAATGCACAGTGTATTTTGGATGGAAAATTCATATGTGTGTTGTGATGAGAAAAGAAAAAAAAAAATTTTATAATAAAAAACAAAGTATAAAAAAAAAAGAGAGGGAAGAGGAT